TGCGAAAGTGACCGCACCCGCCAACAGCGGGAGTGTCAAATGCTTGATTGGTTGTTCTACCGTCCGCACCTCCCAGAAGCGGGAGTACTTGATCGGCTGAAGCTGGCTGTTCCCGCCAGGTCTCCTTTCCATACACCGCTCACCCGCTCTACCTCTGTCACTTAGTCCACTCTCTCTCTCTCACTCTCACACGCAGTCTCTCGCTCCCGCTGTGCAGTCCTCTTCTCTCTCACTCTCCCTTTCACACGCGAGTAACCGCCTGAGCGCCGATGCGTCCCCCCCGTGCTTGGAATGCTCCGCAACAGCTAACGTCGGGCACACCTCCCAGGCAATCCCTCAATCCTCTCTCCTCATCCCCCGTGCATCAGTCGGCACCTCGATGCTTCCACCCTGAGCTAGGTATTGCGGGTACGCCTTGCACACTATCACCCCATTGTTGCTTGCGCTTCAACGTGTTGACCTGCCTGCATCCCCCTGCGCTGGGCGCCAGGTACACCTTGCATACCGTCCCCTTCTGCATGTCCTTCTCTGGCTAAATGCAGGCCGTTTCTCTTCTCACGCCACGACAGACCGAGGGGACTAGACCCCATCCGTTAACAGGCTTGGCTAGACGTCGCATCCAGTGCAAAACCGTAGCCTCCAGGGCTTACAGCGTCGCTATAGTGACGGTACCAGCTCATTCAAAGGCCCCCCCCCCGGAAGTACCCGCTCCAGGCCGGGGTTCTAGCGAATCCGCCTCAATGGATAGAGCATCGGCCAAAATTTCAGAATCTCAGGTAACAACGGCCCGACCGGATAATCCATGCCTGATTCATCGAGCATATAGTGGACCCGAGAATAAAACTGTGGCGTTTTTCCACGCTGATGCCGAACCAGTAATAGAAGTTGAAACGCTCCATTGTCGGGCTCTTACCGAGCCTGAAATAAATATCCGTGATGATTCCGGATCTAAAAACTACCCACGGTGCCGGTTCCGAACTTGATACAAATACCGGAATGGTCTGGACCTGAAAACAAGCCGCCGCCAAGGCCCCGAACCTTGTAATAGATCACGGCAGTGGCTCCAAACCTGATATGAGCCGCGGGAGTGGTCCTTGACTTGAGAACAAGTCACCGTGATGTCCCGATCC